CAAAAGGTTGTTTGACCTCGCCCAGCCTCCATCGGTCTCGGATAAAACCAATTACCTTTTCTCTTTTTCTCTTCTGTGCTTTCGACATAGTATAACTGACATGAACTTCGTTATTGGCGATGTTACCCAAATTGCTGAACCATTTGCATTTTTAGCTAATTTGCCATTTTTCACACAAGAAAAATACAGAGTGCAGAGTCATAGTTGAAGTATATGTTTGAGGTTGAAGGGAAATGAAAACGGTCTTGAAAAGTCGTTATTTCATTTTATCGTTTCTGATTTTATGTTACCAACCAGTCGTGCGCAGGAAGTGATGTTTGATGAAACGATACATTTCAAGACGTTTAAGACATACTGGGCGTAGATCCGCTTTGCAAAGTCATCAGTGATCATTGTAGTTTTGTCAAAGGAATTGGAATAATGTTAAATTTCATATGTTTGTTCTTGCAACTCTTTTCAATGAAAATTGAGGGATTTTGAACCGAGATGCATTACACGGAAGTTCAAATAATTGAAATTTCTCGTCTGTGAAAGTCTTGCATCAATGTTTCAAATTGGTGTCGATGCGCAGCATTAGAGGGCTGGTTTCAGCTAGGATCAACATTATGGAACATATGTCCATCCTTTTTCGTGAAAGATTTATCAGGAACCTCATGTGTTCCGTCACCATGTATACCCCATCATTTCGAAATTTTCGAAAAATAAGCCGTCAAAGTTTTTTGTGTGAAGTTGTACCATTGATTCAAGTAGCAAGATGGTCGTGAAGCTGTTCAAATAACGTGTATAAATCTTGGTCATTGAAGAAAGGCTTCCACGGTATGCAGGATCGTGGTATTCACAAAAAATTTCGGTTTACAAAATTCGTTTCTGGAACAGGAACTGTTTTTTTTTTCAAAATTCGTTTCTGGAACTGTGAGATTTTTCGAGACAAGATTTGGTTTCAGTGGCGTCAAAAACGCTTCCACCGAAATGTTAAAGAGTAATTCCTGCAAACCGCACATCTTCGTCAATTGGACCTGGTCCCCAGTTCCATATCTCGGGCCAAATCTGTCCGTGGCACACTTTTGAGACCTTTATGAAGATTTGTCTGGCAAATCGAAGTTCTGCTTTTATTTTTGACCTCGTAAGAGTACAGCTACAATTACTGCTCATTACAGTACAGCAATAAATAAGCTCTACAAGCTTCTGCTGTGCTTCTATATGTCAAAAACTGAGGAATTTACCTTGCCAGTGGACGTCTGCTGTTAAAATATCGCATTACTATCAGGTGTTTTTTGACCCAATATAAAAATGCGCCGTAGGAGCTCGTTAACGACATTTGTTTGAGCAATAAAGTCAAGAGCACGACGTTTTTAAAGCGTAAACTGGGGATGGACCTCCAAGAATCTAATCCAGTAGAAACCTTTCGATGATTAAAGTTGCCCTTTGGAACTCCGATCATTGGCCCATCGTCGTTGTCTTGGATGGCTGTTCGTACACTTCCGCACGTGCCCGAAATTCCTTCATGTTCTTCATGTAAACTCGATGTTTTGATTGGGGAGTGTGAAGCGTCATGTGGAATGAGGAGAAACTAAGAAAATATGATTTTCAGCTGTGTAAACAGCAACCGTGTGGATGACAAAAAATCAGAAGAATGCCTGAGATCCTCAAGTAGCAAGAGGATGAAGAATCCACAAAACTAAATAATACTTTTTGAGAGGGTTACAGCAGACTTACGTTAGACAAATTTGCGAAATGATATGTGTTGTCCACTAAAATGAGCTTTTCTAAAACACCAAGATTTATCTTTTTGCTGACATTAGTCAGTGACGATTACAAACACAATCCAAATTCATATAATTTTCAGATTTTTAGTTTATTTTTTTGCGAATAGCTATATATACATATTATACGAATAAACCCACATTATGCACATGAATCTGCGAAAAACTTAAGCAATGACAATGAAGTTATGCCCTCCGCTTATCAAAGCTTTCAAGGAATACTAAATTCACCGTCGATAGCTCAGTTGGTAGAGCGGAGGACTGTAGAGTTGCAGCTATCCTTAGGTCGCTGGTTCGAATCCGGCTCGACGGAATGCGTTTTGGCTTTCAACGTTAAACAAAGGGGAGAAATTGACAACGTGAGGGTGAAGTATTTCAGAAGTTTGAAGCCGGTAGTAAAATGTAAAAACGATCTTTATGCCACGTTCTTCCAGCGAATAAAAATTTGAAATAAATCAAACATGGCAAGGACCACTTCATAAGAGCTAGAGTATGATATGCCTCATAAGTTACTTCTTCTCAAACAATTCACTGCTAAGGGAGGGTGTACAACTGTTTCGACGTTGTCTATTGCATGACAATTCAGTTTCAGATCCAGTTGTTAATCTTATCCAGCGATCGGCACAGGTGGCTTGCAAGGCAAGCTGGATATCGTTTTTGGGGGAAAAAGCAAAGGGGATATCGTTTTTGCGGAAGAGCATATCGCTGTCTTTCGATCTGCTGCCGGCACGCTGCCGGCATGCCGCCAGCAAGTATGTTTGTTTACAGCGAAGTGAAGACGAAATGGCAGCAAAATAGGTGTGTAGATGGGCAATGGAGAGTTGGGACTATATATGGAAAATTATGAAAAAATATGTGAACCAAGGGCGTGGCAAACTCTTTTCGGATTTAGGTGGCTTTTACAGTCCATGTCAATTACGTGCTCCCTTTTCCGTAAACGGATGAGCTTCGCTCCTCGCGCGCGTATGACTTGGTCGATCAGACGGGCCTTATCGATTGAATGTTCGCACGCAGGGCCCTTGAGATGCGTATGCGTAGTCCCTATGCGAAGGGGACGTAATTGGCATTGACTGCAAGCTACCTGGATAGCCACCTCAGGTGGCTTAGCGCAGTTAAGTCATATAATTTCTACCCTTTACATAATTTTTTCAAATTTTTTACATAAAAGTAATCTACATCTACTATTCTACAAAAGAGCTCTTGCACCTCCCCAAACCCTCTCCTCTCCGCCGAGTTATAGCCCTCCAATTATCTGGATGGCAGCGGCAAAGGTGCTCCAAGCTCGCGGTGGTGCGCGGCGAACACAGCATGCCGCCAACCCGGGGAATACAAACAATCACTAGTTCTTAATGCCTATTTATTGTCAGTCTTGTATTCTATTTCATCTTTTTGTTTTCATGTTTGTTTTGTTCATTATCGTGTCAAGGAGGATGACGTACTTTTGTGGCGAAGTCAAGGGGACTTCGTTTTTTGCATTTTCAACTAGCCACCTCGTGCCGAGCCCTGATCTTATCAATCCATCTTACTCACGAAGTTCCAAAGTTATGGACGACTAGCACTGGACTGTATTCATCGATATATCCATGAGTATGATCTGATCATCATCATCATCATCTGTTAGGTAATCTCCGTAAAAAAGGTGCTGTACTATGTAGATTCTAATCAGAAGAATTTTACTAAGCCACCGTACAAGTAACAGTTCATATACCCTAATTTCACGCGTATAAGGCGCACTTTTTCGAATTTTCAAGGGAGCCGCTCAGCCGCTACATTGTATTGCGAAAGAAATCCTTACATCGCACCACCCTCTCAAGCAATATACAAAACGTTATAGGGTCCTTTGGTTGTAAAGTCCTTTGGCTTGTCTGGGCTGGTCGATTTTGGAAAAAAATCCCCCGCGCCTTACAAGGGAACGATACTCGGTGTCCGTGTCCTTTTGAGATGAAATGTACACCATTACACTCGTCTTGGAGCGCTGATTCCAAATCTGGCTTCCGTTATTGCTAATAGTTTTTCTGAAAAAATTTATGAAGGATTTTCGCGCCAATATAAATATGGTCGGAATGCCAAAAACTGTCGCTACGACGTGGTGTAGTGGCTAGCGCGATAGCTTCACAATTAATTCAGCTTTAGGTTCGAGTCCTTTTGTGTTTATCAGTTTTGGATTGCCTGGATCAAGCTTCTCTTTGAAAGTTAGGAATCTTTGACCGTATTTCTCTTGGGCGACCATTGACGAGAAAATCCTCTTAATCTCTTTTAGAGAAACGATTAGTAGAAAGTGATGTCAGATTCGGAATCAGCGTTCAAAGACGAGTGTGATGGTATACGTTTCATCTCAAACGGCCAGGCACACCAAGTATCGTTCCCTTGTTAGAAGCGTGAAATTGGGGTAAATCATTTTTGGCAGAAAAAGTAGAAGTTGAAAGCCCCAGACCGTACCCGTATTCGTTAACATTGATAAAGATACGTAACAAACTAAACTCCGTCCATGTTTTGGAAGCGAGCATATGGTACCAACTTGGTTGCAATCGCACCCATTTTGTGGTGTATTACAAATAACTCGGCTTTTCCGAATTTTCTTGTTGCGAATAAGTCAGCATGAAGAGCGCTTTACTTGCTCATACAGTAATTACACACAATACACAATAGGATACAGATAACCCCACACGCATCATACACCGATTGTCAACAAATTGAAAAGTGGAAACAAAAAATTGAATGGAGGCGGTGCGAGAAACACTTGAATTGGAGCTAGAACAAAGAAACAAAATAACAACATGGAAAAAGCACTTAAGATAGGAGGGTCCAAGAGTTTGAGGTTAAAGCAAATGACAGTAGGCTTAGTGAAAAAAATAATACTGGCATGAAAATGTTCAACTAAATGCTTCTAATGACGTTCTGCGTTAACTAAGGCTCCGTTCAAAGCTAACCGCGCTAACGCCGTGTCAGAAGATCGATCAGTCGATATGAAGTGTTTCTCGGGTTCCGGCACGGCGCTGGAACGGTGCTGACACAGCACCGGCACACGGACAGCTCTGGACATTGCCAAAGAAAATTAAGTTCATTGTATTGCTAGCAGAATAAAGTCATATATACAAGGAATGCACGTAAGTTATATGAGTTCAAAGCGTTGGAATATAAAGCTGGTAATGCTCGGTTTTAGGGAATATTGAATGAGATGTGTGAAAATGAGAAGAGAAAGTCAAAAAATAAACGATAGAAAAAGTAAATTCACAAAATCGCTGAGGTTAGATTGGAAACAATGAGATAATGAACAGGGGATCCGATGACTGAAGTGTAACTTATAGGGTAAATACAGTGGGGGGGGGGTGATGTACAAAGACAGGATTTTAGGAAATGATTGAGCTCAAATGTGGTGACGCATACGCTTGAGACGCTTGCTGAAGTTATACTTGAGTTGTCGCCATCGTTTGTGATAGAATTTCTGGAGCGTGGCACCTGAAGAATCAATAACTATACTTTGTGTGGGAGCGACGAGCTAGAACCGCTCCGATGGGCGCGAGTATAGTTGCCAGCGCTACGGTTAAAGGATTTCAGAGTTTTCTGATTTTTTTATTTTCCAGAATCTACTTTTTACTTAATCTACTTTTTCATTTCTTTTTTCCAGGGAATAAACAAACAACAAATTCTTCATTTTTTTCAGGATTTGTAAATGAATAGGTGAGATGTTTCATAGAATATTTGCGATTTCTTGAGATATTAGGTTGGCACATAAGTAATGCAACTTTTTATTAGGTTGTCAAGAAAATAATGTCCGTTTTTATTTGCTTGCTTTAACAAAGCAACCAGACTGAACCCAACAAAGGGTAAGGGGTACTGTTCGATAGAGCAAAGCAAGCTCTACAAGATGGCACTCATGTCTTTGCGCCAAGCTCGATCCACTGAGAGTTCGAACTCAAAATCTAAAGATTTCCAAATGCCCAAAAAATCGAAAAAAATCAGATCTTCGTCCAAATAATTTCTACGGACCTCCCACTCGCTCATATCAATACTATCGATATCAGATATCCATATGTGCGATTGGCGTATTTTTTCCTTGACTAGAAACTGAGAAAACGAAAATTTCCCTGATTTTCTCAAAGCAATGCTGAGCCGTTTTTGCACATGTAGTTCTATACTACAAGCCTAGGTAAGTATAACTGTAGGTTTTCAGCCTATTTCGAGCGGTACTTTTCGAGAAATGTCGATTTTAGCACTGAAACTGAAACGAAAAAATCCGAATTCGTTATTTTTCGAAAACTACCGCTTGGGATGGGCTGAAAATCTACAGTTATACTTACCTAGGCTTGTAGTATAGAACTACATGTGCAAAAACGGCTCAGCATTGCTTTGAGAAAATCAGGGAAATTTTCATTTTCTCATTTTCTAGTCAAGGAAAAAATACGGCAATCGCACATATGGATATCAGATATCGATAGTATTGATGTGAGCGAGTGGGAGGTCCGTAGAAATTATCTGAAAGAAGATCTGATTTTTTTCGTTTTTTTGGGCATTTGGAAATCTTTAAATTTTGAGTTCGAACTCTCCGTGGATCGAGCATGGCGCAAAGACATGAGTGCCATCTTGTAGAGCTTGCTTTGCTCTATCGAACAGTACCCCTTACCCTTTGTTGGGTTCAGTCTGGTTGCTTTGTTAAAGCAAGCAAATAAAAACGGACATTATTTTCTTGACAACCTAATATATAACTTTTGTCTATTTGAACGTAGCGCATTCATTTTTTGGCAATATGAGTAATATGATGTAAGCTTCTAATGCACACATTTTTGCCGAATTTTACCATCTTGTGAGAGGATTACGGTAGGTTTACGGTACTATGGGAAAAATTTTAGAATGCATCAGATTTTGCTGAAACTTGGCCTATAGGGCTTATTTGACATGCTGATCACAAAAATGAGATCCGTTTCGCATGAAAAGGCCTCGTTCGTGAGATCAAAAGATGGATTTCATTTTAGCGACAAATGAATATGATATTCGTGTTTACCGCATAGGATTACCCTATAGTGCAAAGTTATAGCGAATTCTGACTTTTCGCAGCTTAGTTATTGACAAATTGCCTTCAAAACTTGACGCATTTGACTTATTCAACTTCTCAAAGGCGCCCCACCTTAATTTGTGTTTAAATTTTCTTTTTCACTGATTCCAATGTGCCAACTTCCAGCTACATGCTGCCTATAATTGCTTTTTCATATGTTTGAATCAGGTTTCGAAGGGCTTCATGTTTGCCAAAAAATCGTGAAACCTCGATTTTCAGCACTTTTCAAAAAATGCTTAGATTTTTTGTACTACGTTATCAAAAACAAACGGTTTGCGCAGACTTGCAGCTTACATCACGATCTACATGATGCCACACAATGAGATTGCTACATAAAATAGGAAAAAAGTTACGGGAAAAGTTGCAAAACTTATGTGCCAACCTAATAAATCAAAAATATAATTCAACAAAATAAACTTAAAACTTACCAGCAATACCAACGGGCGAATCATCTTCGTTGAAGGTTCGGCAGTTATCGAACATTAGCTCCATATCAGCGGCAAAGTCATCCGGAGTTTCGTAACTGGAAATTTTCGGATTATCTCTGGTTATGCAGAAATGAGACATGAATTTACAACTAAAATAGTTTATAATGATCAAGTTTAAAGTGACAAGAAACACTATCAATGATTTTGGCTACAAATGAGTCACTGACGCAGGTATTGCACAAGCTGCACGTGAGGCGGCAGCGCGGCATCTGATGTCTCTGAGTCGCGGTGAAAAGGAAACATGCAAGATGACTGCGCGCAGCACCACTTTTTCTTTAGGTGCTTCGATAAACCTGGATGGATGAAAAAGCTGTAACCTACCATTGTGCCTCGATCCGATTTCGTATGGAAGCCATATCGATGGGATTCGGAATCGCTTCTCGATAACCAGGTACAAGGTCCAGATCTACTGGCTCGAGGAATGGCCCAACACCAGGTTGACACTCTAACTCGTCCAACATTGCCCTACAAAAAGAATTTGGAGACCGTCTATGTGGATTCAATTGTGGCATCTCACCTGCACAGATCAGCATTCATCTCTATAGGGAACACAACTGGTGGAGGTGCTTCTGCCTTGCGCTTTAGAGGCTTGTTTTTGTCTTTGTTCTGCGCTGGATGGTGACCGTTGGGAATGTGATGATGGTGCTCTGCGTCGGCTGTGTCGTCTGCCTCTAAGTAGTCGTCACATTCTCCATGCGGGATTACTCGACGCTCGAACAGCTGAAATCGGTGAATTTTTTAGGTTTAAAACGCAAAAAAATTCATAGAAATGGATTGAAGTGGCAGGGCAGGACCGTACTTTAGGGTCACATCCACGGCATAGAAAATCTCCACAACAATCAAAGGCAGAATCAGTGGCACATTCGACATGGAAGAAATGGTAGCATTTTCTGAAATGTTGATTTTCACTTATCAGAAACCAGGAATTCTGAAAGTCGGTGATCCTTCCAACAAACCTGCATGTAACCAAATCATCAACCTGCCGAGAGCAAATAAGGCAAGTAGGCACTTGGGTAGAAGACTCTACACATGCGGGACAGAACCATTCGCGAGAGGGCGGAGACTACAAAAAAATGAATGGGAAGGAAGAAGATATCATAATAAGAACATTTAGTAAAATTAATAACGAAATAAACATTTGATGCTCTATCATCAAACGCCTAGAGGCCAAGATTTGAAATAACCCCAGTTTGCGACTTTTTAGTAATGGGGACCAGTTCTCGCTAGTGCTATCCGTGATCTACCACCTTTGGAACAATGTTTTTACGTATTTCCTTGGCGTCAAACGCAACTACCATGAAATCTTTTCGTAGAGAACATTAGCGAGAACTGGTCCCCGGCACATGTAACTTCGCATATTTGCGCCACTGTGTATTGAAGCTTTCTGAACGCAAAGAGCGCGTTTCAACAGAAAGTCCTATAGAAAGACTAACGAAAACTGGTCCCCAGCACTATTCATTTCGAAAATGCCATAAAAACTCAATAACAATTCTTCTCCAGCCCCTAAGCGCGAATTTTGTAAAAAATTATGTATGTTAGAATTCCAACCTTGCAGCAGCTTTGATGATAATTCAAACGGCAAGCCGTGCATCGCAATGTCGTGTGGCTATCATCACAACGTTTACGACAAATCTGACACAATCGCAATGAGTGCACCAATTCCCATGCAATCGAAGATTCGAGAAGCTGCAAGATTAACGTGAGGATTCAAAGCTGTACACAAAAAAAAATTATTTCCGTACCTGCACGGCAAGCGCTAATTCTGACGGCGTTGTGGCAGATTCTACGTAGAACCGCCAACGATCAATCATCTCACGGCTGTCTGAATCTTCTCTGTCGCCATCTTCATCATCTCGATCCGCTTCTGATCTTTCTTCATCCTCGTCAGGGTGGCTACCATTCTTTCTTTCTTCTTCCATTTTCAGTGTATGGGCCAGGTATTTCTTGTCACTGTAAAATATGGGCTGGGATACTGTAGGGATACGGTAGAACTTAGGTTTACCTGACACAAAAGCTAGGCCTAAAGAAACTACGGTTGATACGCCGTTCGCAATGTAGAATTCGCTGCCTAAGCTCAGCTGACGTTCTTTCACCGTTTCGTAAGAGTCCATTGGCAGTCACTAAAACAACAAACAAAACTTTAAATTTTGAAATCAAAACTGTAGAAGAGAGATACGATAGATACTTTGGAGGTAGTGCAGATCGCATAACTTACCTCGTGCAGCAATTTTAGCCTTGGTTATCCTAGTTTCAAGCTCATCAAGTCGACGATGTACGATGCTATAGCTCAAATCCTTAGACTTATTTAGATCCATTTCTTCTTCTACCTTTTCTAGCTCAACTAAATAATCTTGTTATTTTTCACAAAAAATAGGAAAATCTGCTCAAACTGACCTTTGCCTAATTTTACATCCTTTAAAAACCACGATTTACAGAGTAACCGATGTAGAATACGCTCACGAATACCCCTACCGTGCAAACTGCTTCGCACAGCTTCCAGAGCCTCCCTAAAAAACTCAATTTGAACAGCGAGAAATTCAAAAATTGAAAAAGCGTGACTTACTTGGTATCCACAGACCACCAGCCTCTTTTATATGGGTTATCCATACGTCGAAACCTCTTTCGCTTGCGTCGATCCGAGTGAGACCGAGCCGTAACGACATCGTCTACAAGGTCTTCCACACAAGCGATTACATCGGGGTGAACGAAGCCAGGGGCTGCAATTTTCGTCAATATACGGTACAATGCACACAGGATGTAAGGAAAAAAATACCCTTTAGTTCCGGTGGATCCTTTGCACAAGTCTCGTCTATGTTACAGGCTGGATTTGATGGTCCAGAACTTTCGATTGACTCTACCAATATTGATGGTACACCAGGTATTTGCCAGTAGTTCCTGAAACATTTCATTTTTCATATTGCAGGTTACAGGAGAACTAGAGCAAGGTGTAGTTAGCCTACCTGTGGTAACGATCACATCCCAAGGGAAAACTTCGCACTTTTGTCGAAAGCTCATTGATTTTCTCTTTCAGATGTTCCGCCTCAGTATTAAGTGAGTCAATGAGTGATTCGAGCTGCTCGGGTGACATCTTTTCTTCCTAAAATACTCTTAATACAGCTATTCCAGTAAATGTTTCTAGCCGGATAAAACTCCATTTCTGTAACAGGAACGGTAGGGATACTATAACACAAGATCAACATCCGTAATATTTACCGCGCAGTGATTCGAGAGAGTGCCGAAAAAATTTGGAAATGATGGGAGAGGAAAGGGAACGAATCTCTTTCTGAATAAACTAATGTTGGCCACGTCCTCAGAAGATTGTTTGAGATGTCCACAAATTTTCGCAGGTTCTGAACCAAGAAATTTTGATAAGGAAAGCGCGGCGAGTCATGCCCAAAAATTCTCGCAGAAAACTGACACTGTTTTTTTACGAAGCACGTAAAATATGCGGTTTTTGCAGATAGGAATAGGTTACATTAATCTATGCATAAATTTCGAACATATAGAGTAGCGGGGGGAAGGGAGGGGAGTAGTTAGCTACCAACTCAGTAGAAGTAAACGTCTTCTCACCTCTTCCGTCAGAATTTCGCATTGTCCCAGCCCCGGCGTCAACCTCCGATCCCGCGCTGTGGGAACGGGAGTCGTAGGACGACTTGTATCCGAAGCTTCAGAATTTCTTGACGGTGGTCGATCATCATGTACTTGGCCTTCGGATTCACTGTTATGGACTCCTCGCTCAGCTTTTAGTTTCTTCCGTTGCATAACTCGAAGTGCACGAGCCTGAAAGAGTCATTAAAAATATTACAAAAAATTTTCTCTGTGATAATCCTTACCTTTCCATCACGCATCCATCGATCGCCCTTCAATCGTCCTACTTCTTCCAGATTCCGATCAATTTCTTTTACGATATTTGGGCAACAAAGCAGTTCATTGCATAAATAAGCTAAGATTGAGGCCTTTTCTTCACCCGACAGTTCAGCGAAACTGCTATGGAGGAGGAGTTCAGCAAGCTGGAAATGAATGACGATTATCGGTTACAAATAATTCTGTTATGCAGGCAACGGGTGAATGCGCGTCTACCATGCGGCGCGGTCCAAGCGGACAAGTGAGGAAAGAGAATGCGGATTTAAGATACGCAGACAATGATGCGCAGTTACATCTTTCTTGCACAGATCAAAATTACGGTGCGTTGTTATATGCAACAGTGTTGGCGGGGTTCTCCAATTGGGAGGGGTTCCTTGTATTTTACCTACCTTTTGTCCTTGCGAATCTCGCGTGGCTAAGAACAATCGCATTAACTCCGAATAGTTCTCTTTATTTACGCCCGCCTCAGAGATGGTTTGTCCAAGTCGAGTTTTTCCTCTAAAAAGAAATATCTTCCCTAATTCAATTACCCAACATGATCTTGACTTACCGCTTTCCCATGGGTAAGCCGGGATACTCCAATGACAACCGAAACAATGCAAGAGTCAGTTGGAGTACATGATCGAAATGTCTTACATCTCCAACAAGACCGGCACAAAGAACACCCAATGGTGGAATTGAGGAAGAGTCTGGAAGTTGTCGCAATATTGATTGATATTGATTTTATTGATTATGCAAACATCTACCAATTTCAAGCACATGAGCAAAATTATTGACAAATTCATGGACCATCAGAGCGTCAGCAAATCCAACTCCATTCAGTTGAAGGTTTACCACCCGAGGTAGATCAGGTAATGGCTAAAAGGAATTTTTTCGTTTACCGTAATTTCCTACCGTAATCAGTAAGTACGCATACCCGAATTTCTGTCAGCAACAAATCATCGATCGGTTCACGACTCCATTTGATTTTATCCTCATCATCATATACTTCTAGTGGAGATTCGTCAGCTTCCATGTGATTTTGTGGCTCTCGAGTCTGGAAGGGAAAAAATTAAGATAAACCAGAAAGTTCGAACATGCGGATACTTACTTCTTCGGGCGTTGTTCTGCCTTCCTGGGGCGTTTTCTCAGCCTTTTCTGGTTTTTCTGGCTTTTCCTTTTGCTTCCTCTCTCCATTTCTAGGCTGAGGTTTCAGACTGATAAGCCGATTGATTTCTTCAGCTATAACCTCTTCACCGAGTTTTACTACAACCTAGAAATCACATATCAATTTACAAATCCGGTAATTTTTTTTTACAAAATCTGGTAGCCTGTCCTACCTTTTCGCCATTTTCCAACTCTTTCGGCATCAAAAATTCTCCTACGATTAATTTGCTGCTGAATGAGAAATTGTCCCTCGTTATAAGTCCACCCGGATGCTTCATTAGATACTGAAAATACAAATTACAATGTGTTGTGTTCCCAGACAGACAATTCAAAACGTACTCTCAGGACTTCAGCGTAGGTGCTGAGTTTCTTTCCGCATGGTGCATAGTACACGACATCACCTCGTACTCCAGATGCTGCTATTGAACGGATACAAGTCTGGCGGCGCCATCTGTAATCGATCAATAAATCAATAAAGAATATTTGTGCAAATTTACACTGTTACTGTAGAGTGTCAGCAGTGGTTAGAATTTTTTGAGAAGAGAGAAGGGCACGAGTTTCAAATTTTTGGGAAGCTTTTCTGATTATTTTCAGGCATAAAATCCCAAATATGGAGAAAGGGGGGTGGCGAGAGCCGCAATTTTTTGCTGAGTTGATTTTGTCATATTTCCAAGTTAGTGTGTGACAGGTAAAATTTATTAACATAGTTTTGCAACACATGCAATTCGCCCTTAAATATTTCGGAGTCCATCTCCGCAAAAAGCGCCACACGTCTACTTATAGTAAAAATATCGAAATTCGATTATCGTTTAGAAGGGCAGTCAGTTTAGAGGTACGGTAAGTGATAGGCGATCGATTACCGATTGACAAAAACTTTCAGCTTACCCCAACGTCAGCGGAACCCTGGCTTGAGCTTCAGTTGCTGGTGGCCGTTTTTTACCGCCTTCGCCAAGGCATTCCGAAGGTGTAGCGGTACCTCGAGTGTCTGTACCATCAGAGGAGGGTCCTGTAGAGAAAACAATTATGTAGAAAGTGAGTTTACAAGGGTTTACAGGTCAACACTACCTGGCTCAGTTTTTGTCTTCGAAGAGAGATCAAGAGCGAGTTGGGCTGCATCTTTCTTTATGGTTTTGTGATGGTTATTAGTGTGCCTAAAATTTTTTTTGAGGTCTAGTGTCATCTGGGATCCCTAACTCGCTCTTTACCTACCCATTCACTTTCGACATGGCCGCCTGTTGAGTCATCATTTGCGTGGCCAATAATTGAAGCATCGCCGCATCGAGCATACTCTTATTCATGTTGTTCAGAGCTTTCGTAACCGAGCTGAAAGGACAAAATTTTCAGAATTTCTCAGCTCCCAGACTGTCCCTCATTTTTGAAGACTCCTGTGCGTCCGATTTCCGAGCTCACCCTTATCCCTACCTTTTTGTCACCGGTATCTCGCCCGGTTCCAAACGACGTCCATTGTTGTTCGTTACCGACGTCGTTGACGTGGAGGTCGGGGCAGACGTGGACGGTAACGTAGCCGCTGTAGCGTGATGCGACGCAAGGCTACCGTTGGTGGTTGCATCTAAAAACAGAGAAAAATGAGTTATTCCGTATCATATTCTAATGAAAAATAGTAATCATTGTTTCTAGAGAAAATTTTTCCAAGAAAAATGAAACCTTTATTTCATAAGCTAGCACCTTCAACGAAATATAGTGATTTTACGGTGCTGACAACATTTGCGCGTAAACACCAGCAATGGCAAACAATTAGTTCGCGCGCAATTGTAGTCATTACCGCAAAGGACTATATTAACCGTTAGATCTGCTAGCGCCTAAATGCACCTATGTTTATCACTTTTTCTCTATACCTCCAAAAAATAAATTAGGATACTCATATCAACCAACCCAGTCCGTTTTTGTTCGCTCAGTAGCCAATTTAGGCACACTAATTTCTTTATCACTCATGAGTCACATTCAAATAGAACAGTCATTTATTATCAAAAAAAGTGCTGAGTAGAGAAAAATAGCAGTAATCAGCAGCGTTTATTGGCACGCCGTCGACCAACAAAGAAATGCTATCAATCTCAAAACAAACAAAAAGCAGAGGTGACGAAAAAAAATGCAAGATATGATGCATGCGGCAAGAAAGGAGAATAATTATTCGTTGCACATAAAGTTCACGGGGAGGATTATGGAGTGCACAAAAATATTTAGGATGCATATGATCATCGTGATCATGGTCAGTCATAACCAAGAAATTATTCAAAAAGGAAATTTTATGAGGATCAATTGGCGGGGAAGAAGGGTAAACTGTATTCATACGCCAATTTTTTTATTAAAGCAGTCGTGGAATTGCGTACTCTGTGCAGTAACTTTGGTAATAGATCCCTTATGAGGCGCACCGTTAACATGTTTCAAACACCGTTAACATGTTTCAAACTTATATTTTACCCCATCCTAGACCTTCCTGCAATCAAAACTTGAAAGGGAACGAGTTTAAACTTGATAAGCCATGTGAAATACCTATTTCTCGCCAGCCATCCGGTTTACGCCCCCGTAAGTCAGCTTCCAAAAGCAAATGTATGCTGTGTGCAATTGCACAAATCACCATTTTCTGGACCTCTTTTGCCTGTCATTGCTCGAATCTTACCAGAACAGCGTGCTCGAATCTCACCAGAACAGCGTTTTATAGCTTTCTACTGGCACTGGCTTTGCATTCCTGGCTGGTCCCTCGACAAACACAGCAAACTGCAGCTGGTGTGCGTGTTCACGAGTGCGATAAATGGCGCGCAGTCACCGACATCGGCGTCGGCGGCGCCGCCACCGCCGTCGACGCTGCTGTCTCAGCAGCATTCAGCGAGGCAGATTATGTCGTGTGTGTATGTGCGTGTGCGTGTGCGAGTGAATGCGAGCGACGATCGAGCAAAATGTTGCCTCTGCTCGGCCATCGGCGATATCGCCGTTTGTGAGTAGTCTTTTAGTCGACCAACCGGCGCATAACTGACATTCCTAGCGAGTTAGTCCTTGCGACGCGAACTGCTGTGTCTCGCTTTCCCTGTGCGTGCAATTACAGACTTCTCAGCGCTATTTGGCAATGAATGTGCGTGTGTACGTGAAAAGCCAGCTGCTATACAACAACGGAACGGGCCTTGGCCGATTTCGTGCATATCTAGGCACTCATCTCTGACTACGGCGGGCCGCTCGCGCGTGCGTACGGCAATAACAAGCAACACGACAAGCAGCTTCTTCTTCTTCACGTCCCACATCGTCGGAGATGGATAAGCATGTCTGATGGTCGCGGTGTTTTGGGGCTGTGCTGTTACGAGAGATGAGATGAGACTACGGCTAGAGCTAGTAGTTCGTCTGTCTGCCCCACACGGCATGCTAAAGTGCAGAGCAACACGTCGCTATGGGGCGCGTAATGGGTTGGGGCTTGATGGATCAGGCTAACGGCACGCTTTAGAACTATGCAAGAAATATAAGGAAGAATTCGTGGAAGGGTGTGTCCTCTCCGACAGCGCTTCCTCATTAGGGTAAGCCCCTATTGACAGGTCCTTCCAGTTCATAAGACATTCATTATCTGGCGCTGGAGTGAACAACATGCCAGCTGAAGCATCGCGACCCATCACATGCGCAATATGGTTCAGGTCAGGCATATACTTACTACCACATAGGCTGACAGAGGGTAGCGATGGGGATTACCCAGTCAAGACCGAAAAAAAAGATGCTCCACCTCCGCTGGATCAGAACCACCCCTAGAATTTTTTCACCGCCGCCACCACCACCACCGCCGTCATCACAGCAGGCCACCAGCATCCCAGCCACTCACTCACTCGCATTCGCTCGCTCGCACACACATTTTCGCTCTCTCCTCCGACGACGCCACTCACACACAAAGGTCACGTCGGCCAAGCGATGAAATGAAAAATCGCACTATTCCGCCGACTGCTGCTGTGCGCACACGAGACGATGTGATCGCACTCGGCTGTGTCGACGGTTCGGTCGAGACACGAAGTGTCGTCCGCCGAGCGATCAGAAAGAAAAGCACATCCGGACTGGCGAAAGTACACTCATCACCGAAAATTTGCCAAAGACTAAGTCGCCGTTGCGTTGTACTAAGGACTGGCACCGTGCCAAAACAATTTTATCTCTTTCTGCTGGGTGCCAAAGGATGCGCGCAACGGTGGACAACACTCGAGATTTTTGAAGAGTGTTATGAACTAACAGTGAGTTTAGAAAACATCAAAGGGTATTTGAGAAGAGAGTAAATGGCGCATACTAATTTTGTGCCCTCTAACAGCACGCGAGAAAATCGAAAAAAAGGAAAAAAAGGAAAGGAATATCAACCTAACACTACAGCATTAGGATTTCTTATTTCTATGTTCTGTGAATTTCAAAAGAAAATTTTCTCAGATTAAGCAGTGGTTCTGATCTCATTAGTAATTCAACTTCTAAAATTGAGTGTATATGAAAAAATGTAGAGATCAAGAAAATTATGAATCATGAATCATGAAAAATAACAAGTTCTGATGAATTCTTTTAATCCAACAAAATCCTGCTAGTTTCTATTTGAGTATCCTTAGGGCTCAAGTCATTAGTCACCGAAATAAAGAAACTTAGAGACGAAAAAAATTGGTAGACAAAAAATGGCAAACTCCGCCCCTAGTGGTTCAATCCCTTCTACATAGTCTACAGCTAATGCAATTAGCACCCATTAATTTACGCCATTATAGGGCTCGTAGTTTTCGAAAGATAATTTGACGTTCAGGTCTGAAATTAGGCAATAGAATAATCTACAGAGGAACAATAAAAAAAGATTTTATATCGAAGGGCTTTTTTAGATAGTGGATAAATTTTTTTCAACTTCAAATTTCAGGCTATCCCTTCCTATTTTAAGTCATTCTCCAAGACATATCCCCCTAGTCAGGCGATTTTCATTGTCCTGTCTCCTTTGCTTCTGATTTTAGCTGTTCGGGTAAACACACACACCGCCACACATTCAGAAAAAGCGACCACGAAAAGTACTGCAGCCAGCAGACGGGCTGCTATGCAACTGGTCTCGCCAGACAATGCATCATAGACTTTTCGAAAGAATTGAAAACGAGGACGGGGGAGGGGGGGGGGGGGAGGACACGAGTGATTTAGCACATCTGCCACCAGCGGAACCACCATGGGGAGAAGCAAGGCAAGCTACAGTCATTGAGTCCTTCCCAGACCTTCGTACTGGCGGAACTCCCGGATCTTATGAAACCCACTGGTCTGATCTCTCTCCCGCAACTCTTTTTTCTTCTCTCCAGACATCCTTTGTGTTCCCGCCGTGTATCAATACGATGCCACCGCCACCAAAATGTCACCTCGAAAGCGCTTTGCCTCGTCGGACGAGGCGACTCACTCTCGCAAACAGCACACACCACTCACGCGATATGCGTCGCCGATACATACACACATATAATGGATGCGAGAACCCCCCCCCCACCTCCCCTCCCCTCTCGTCATCATCGTAGTCCAGGTGTCGCTTACAAATCCCCCTTCCCCCTCCCCTTCTTCCTCTATGCCCGTCGCGGCAGTTAATGGAAGCATCCTCTGCGGTGGTGGATATGATTGCCTCGTAGATGGCGCAAGATATACATTTTTTCAAAGAAATGTTTTACGCGATTTTTGACAGTTTTTGGCAAAACCTCCACAGTTTACCGAATGTATCTCCGTGCTCTTGAATTCTATGCCCGATTTCAGCAATTTATAACCGTTGCCTCAACCCCTCCCCCTCTCATTTCAAGCGGTTCATATCCGAAAATTTAGATCAAGTCCATGATAAACTGAACAAAGTGAAAAAATGAAGTTTGGAAAATATTAGCATCGAGTGTCTGTGAGGGTTAAGGCTAACTTTTCAATTGCCGGAAAACGATGGAGAATCGTCATGTACGATGTAACAGAAAGATTATTCAAAAATATAAATTTATTTAAAAAATCGTGTAGAAAGAGCCAAAAATGGTACCTATGTACAACTCCGTGTTCTTTTTTGAAATCAAGCTACAAGGGCTATAGCCTCACTGGTCCATCCTTCTGCTTTTTCTTTCTAGACTTCAATAAGAAAAAATAGCTGTTGACCACGGAAACTAGTGAAATTAGCGTAAGATCCACTTATACTGGTGCGTTAGGTAAAATGTGCCCGTAGGTCCCTTCCCTAACACAAACTACAACTCTCATACCTGTGTGACACCTACTGCTTCTATGAGTCATTCCATGCCCCTGAAATTCATTTCAGTCCCATACATAAATTTACAATAGGTTTAGGACATTTCCGCTTAGTCGTTGCGATTCCGAAGCAGAAGGTAAGAGCATGGAAAAAAGTTGGCTCTTTTGAAAGTTCGAGGTTTCTAAACGGTACAAGTATTACCATTCTGATCGACGTCCCTTTATAACAAACTTTGTTCATACTAATTTTTGGGATTTATTTGTGCCCCTTAGGGAGATGAAGGGGCTCCAAAGAACGTCCAATACCAAGCTTTTTTTGGTCTAAGCAGCCGCACGATAAAATCGCGGAACCCGTTATTTACACATCAGTGTTCTCGCTGTGTGACTCGTCTCAATAGTTCGCATTCCTTCAACCTCTGTTCAAACTGATCTCTGATAAACTATGATCCCAAATAGGATAATCTTTACGCTTCGAGGCGAGGTGATATCGCCCATTTCATTTTTCATCGCCAAATTCAGGGGACAGAAAGGCTCCGTTAAAAATTTCTACATTATTAGGAAGCAGAAAACACCTGTTCTACCTCTTCCCCTCCCCCATTCCGGCTCTTCTCTCGATTAAACAAAACTAGAAAGGTCCTATTCGGTGCTGCTTTTCAACCACCCTCGCCCCCCCCCCATCCGCTATATGTACGATGTCCATTCATAGGTGTCACTCTCTCAAAGATTGTTGAAATCAGCAGCGGAGATCTTTTCAGCCATTCGAGCGAAAACACTAGGGTGGGGGGGGGGAAGGGAAGTAGTAAGACACGATAGGTGTAACCTGACTGGAACTGATCTAACTTTTTTACATATGAAACTCTCAAGACAATCCGCTTTTCGAGGGCTACAGTAGCGAATACAGGTAAGGAGGGTGGAATTTTAGTAGAGCCTTTTTTTTCTCGAAACCAACTAACTCTGGAGGAAGTTCCCACGCCATCAGCGGATTCCGTAGATCCATTCCATAGGTCCCAAGGATGTTTTGGGATGTCCCTTCGGATTCAAACATTGACAAGAACTTCAGAAGTGTGTACTCTCTACTTTAGCTCTATGAGCTCCTCTAGGTAGGATCTAAGCTCCGCCTATTCCCAGTTGTCTCCATAAACTACCATATCAGTGCAAGAACTTTTTTTCTCAGCAAAAGATCTCGCAACGCACTAAACCCACCCCCAAACCATGACGCCACCCCCAGGTTATCAGCCAGCAGAGGAAGGAGAGAACCGGCCTTATTTGAGGGCCGTTCCATTAACGTTTCGACAACGACACATCTCTGGCTCGGCTGGCTGGCCCTGGCGACAAATCGTTGCGGTTTTGCGAGCCGTTTCGACTCGTCACATCGAGTCACGCCAACACACATCACGCCGCTACCCTCGTGCTCGTTCGGGCAGCGCTAAATAACCGAACGAGCGACCGACACCAATGACGACGACGGCGGCGGTGACGACGACGAGGACGTTCAGACCAGCGACGCCGCCATGACCATAGGATGCGCTCGCGCTCGTCAAGCTATTAAGATTATCTGCCTTGACGAATCGTGCGAAAGCGTTGATTCGAAGAAGGGGGGGGGGAATAGAAGCCGAAAACCTCTACCGATTTAATTTTATCCACAACTGGCCAAGTTTCCCATGCAGAGGAGCAATATCCAGGTGTTCTAATGGGCCATGCTGCCAGCAAAGAACTTTTTCCATCATTCGTAACGCTTTGGTTAATCGTCATGATTTAATATTAAATTTTACCAAAAGTGTTTGGAAACAAAGTACTCTCCTCATTTAGGTGCTCCTTTAATAAAAAAGGCAAAACAATTTTGAACTATTAGGTGTGAATGCTCATGATACGATCTTCCAATTTTTCAGTTTATGCTTAGTTCTCAGCTTTCCAAATTGCAAGTGCATATGGTTTGAATGCACATATTACCGTTTTCGGAGCTTTTGTCTACCAAAAATCTTATATCTTGTTTACCCTGTTCTTGTGGCGGATAAGCTCCACAGTTAGCAGTTTCGACCAGTTGGTGGTTGGCTGCCAAAATCTAAAAAAGTCACTAACGCTTCAGTTTTGTCTAAATTTTGTGGTCTTGTTTTTTCATGATTTTTGATACGTATTGCTCAAAAGGTCGGGCATGAAGTATTGGGGAGATTCGGAAGTTAGAAAACCATTACAAATTACACAAATTTTTCTGGAGCAAAAATACTTATTTATGAGAATCTGGTAGAAGATGGCACCCAAGATCCAATTTATCTTGATGTTTGACTGTTAAAAATGGCTTGGTTTCGCATCATTTTTTGATAAGTTTCTTCATGCTTCAAAACAAAAACAGTGAGAGGATAATCTCCTTTTATGCCTATAAAAGTCATGGCAGAAATGTCGAATCGAGAGTCATCCATTAACAAAAGTATCTTATGTATGCGAAACATTTTTATCGAACGCAACAAAATCAAAAACTTGAAATTTCTTCCACTAACCTATCTAATATATAAAGAATCGTAACGCCAATTCAAAAAAACATCAGATAGCGGGAAACCGCGGTGCGTTCCCGGAGCGCGCGGATGCATCTAGCGCCTTCAGTTAATGGTCACTAGTTTCAAAAAGAAATTCCAGTGCCTACCACTACCCTACCACATATCCACCACTCGTTCCTCTCACTTTGTCTGACTCCGAACAACCGCACAACCGCAATTCCACACGCACAAACACACACAATGAAGTGTCGACCAAGCGAGCGGCTGTTAGTCGAGTGTGTGTGTGTGGTGTGAGTGCTGGTCGCCCGGCGGGGTTGGTTTCGGGTGCCATAAAACCCGCGCGCGCTCGTGGGCCAAAACGAGGCCGTCGTCGTCGTGATCGTCGACGGTGGCACATAAGGAGATGGGGCCAGTTCGAGTAACACGCACAACTTAATCACTTGGAGTCAGGCAGCAGACGCTGTCTCGGTCAATCAAGCAACGCCAGCTAATTAAAGGATGCGATGAGGGAAGGAGGAGGGCGGGGGGGGGGGGAGGCAGAGGAGCAGAAGTAGTGTTACGGCTGTGGAAGTTGGACCATAGGTTTGGCGCAGAAATTCCTCAACAACAGGAAAGTCCTGCCCGTGACTTTACGACTACCAGAAAGTGCATTACGGATACGCTTCCAGGGCACAAGCGCACTGGAGTGCCAGACACTTGTGGCAGAGCACTTTCAAGAGAATTATTTATATCCCCGCCGCAACTCCAGCACTTTCAGCCCGACCCATAACTGACCCCGAAAGGTCGCAATTCCTCCCCAACGCGTCCACACTATCCCAGTGAAATCCGATAGCCTTCACGAGAGAGAGAGAGTCCGTCCGCCAGGCAATCGAGTGGAATCATCGGTGCTTGTTCTTGTCAGCCAGGCGTTCCATGGCTATCCATCCCCGACTACGACACCCTCAGATGAATGATGAGCGACCGGCCGGCTGAGCGTGTGTGATTCATGTCGACAACACCAACATCGCACGCCGCACAGCCAGCGTCCCTCTCTCGCTGGCCCATCGGTATTCTTAGTCTCTTTGTATCAGCGCGGTTGTGACAAGGAGACTTTGAAAAAGTTCCGGCCGGAAGATCAATCATAAGAAAGGTCATTTTGACACTAAACTATTTTTAAGTGATATTCTCCAAGCAACTTTGATTGGGTGTGGCAGAAGAGTAGAAAACTAGGATCAAAAAACAAAATTCAGTAACGCAAGAAGAGGATGAATATTATAGAGGAATAGGCATTATTTAAATCAGGATTTGACATGTTTAGTCCCAGCAAGAAAAACGATGTGGGCGGAGCTAATTGCAATTATGCGCATGGTCATGAATGTGAGGACTGTACCAAAACCTATAGCTACGACCAAAAAATGGAGAGGACTCAAACAAGAACAATAATAATCGTACATATACTTGTAAAATAAACGTGAGCAAAAAAGTTCAAGAAATTTCCAAAAAAATGAACTCACTTTTCTTTCCAACTTCGGCCAGCTTCTTTAGCACTTCATCAAACGATAGCTGATTTGTTTGCTGTTGCAGCTGTTGTTGCCGTTGTTGTTGCATTTGCTGTTGCCGTTGTTGTTGTTTCTGCTGTTGCAATTGCTGTTGCCGTTGTTGTTTCTGCTCTTGCTGCTGCTGTTGTCTCTGTTGCTGCTGTTGCTGTTGTTGTTGCTGCTGTTGCTGTTGTTGCTGCTGATGCAATTGCGCTATCTGCAACAAGGGGCATTTATTACAATCCTAACCCAACCAATGTACCAAAAAATTGAGGACACGCTAACCTGTGCCTGAGCGGCAACCATACTTTGCCAGAGCATCATTTCCGGTGACATAAATGGATTTGCAGCCCCTAGCATTCCATTCAGAAGCGCAGCAGCTGCGGCGCCATTGGCGCCAGCGCCACGGTGGGCGCTAGCTGCACCGGGAGCTGGCGATGCACCTGCGCCTGTTCCGCAGCCAAAAAGCATCTGCGAAAAAATTAAATGGTCCACAAGCAGATTACGAAGCAAAGACAAGACGAACCTGCTGTTGCGCCGACGCTTGCGCCGCTAGTAAACGAAGCAACGCGTTTTGATCACACATCACCGTTCATTTGCTGAAGTTCGATTTTTTTCAAGAGAAAATCGAAACATGCAAAGGCGTAATGGCGATGAATATTCTCGAAGTATGAGAACTAGGCTAGTTGAAGTTGGTAGATAGACGAAGGTAAGATAATGCTAGACGTGCTACGACGTAGAATGAATTCGGCTTCAAGCGATCATACAAATTAGCGGTGCAGTGAGAATAACAATGCTTGAAATCCTCCTCTCTTAAAGATAAAGATTTTCGAGAAAGTTTAGTTTCGTCATTTCAAGGTCGAGAGATGAAATAAAGAGGAGTTGAGAAGAGTGAAAGGGGAACAGGAATGATCAATCTGGTTCGAAATGAAAGCTGTAGAAAGATGCGCGCGGTTCTGATAAACAGTCAAGAGGATGGTAAATACTTTGACTGGAAAAGTTACAGTAGAAAGACGTTCTTGTAAAAGCTTTGACGCTAAATGAGATCGAGATAAAATGTATGGATAGACTATTTTATATACTAACTTCTTGCTATAATAGGAGATAATTCAGCACGTTTGGACCATAATTGGTGAATACATCTGAACTGTAAATCTTAGTTTAGCTTTGCGATTAGTGATGGAGATTACTGTCACAAATTCCAAAAGGTGCAAATCTGTGGCAAATCTGGAGGCCTAGTATGAAAGTTATGAAAGTTGAGGATTTCTCGTAAGCATGAAATTGGGAAGGCACAACATGTCACAAAGGAATTATGTATTTCTGTTCCGGTGGAGGGTACAATGTGTCTGACTTCCAATGACAAAGACAACAATAATTACGTTTTTTATTTTCGTTTCTGTCGGCATTAGAAGAGTTTCTTCTCTTTAATGCAGCTATGGTGACTAGACAAAAGGAAGAAAATTGTGAATTGCTGAGTGAATTCTTTCGACGAACTATAGGGCAAATTTTTGAGAAAGGGGGTTTTTTTCTGACTAGGAAGTAAAGATGTGCGGTAGTTCTAGTTGGGTTTGTAGAAGTACGTCTCAATAGTCTAGAAATTTCTGTGATGATGAAAATGGTGCTATCCTAGCAAAGCAAAATCCATTCCTGCAAGACGGATAACAATAATATGTAGATAGGTGATTTCGAAAGCAAAATATTGAACAATTTATGAAATTTGTGATACATTGGAAGCCATAGTAATGTTATTAATTGGCTAGATATCAAATTCAGCTTCCAAAGCAGTTGGTTACTAAGGAGGTATAAAATTTACGATGAAAATTCCGCACCCGAACACAAAACAGCTGTAGCTTCTTTTGGTTTATGCTATATAGAATATTATTTTTATTTCAAAAATTTTCTCGGAACCCTCATTTTAGATCAACTTCATTGCACTACCTACAATGTTTCCCAACCCTCTGCACGTCCAATTTCACCCTCTTTAAAACAAATGCGTGAAGCGTTGCCAGGAGCCACAAAGTCATCATCACAATCGTGGAAACGGTAAACGTCGGCGGTGGCGTCGGCGGTGGCGTCGACGACGACGGCGGTGGCGGCACTAGCAGTGTCGGGGAAGTGCAACGCACACATACAGCAGACAGCAATGTGAGTGAGGCGTGAGAATTCGTGGCTGAAAAACTCGTCCACAACGACGTCGACGCAGCCGCGGACGTTCATTCGTTCGTTCGTTCGGTGCACAAATCACGCGTGGAGACGACGACGCACTCTAGTCAACGATGGCGGTGAAGGATGAATGGGTGGTGGCAGATGTTACTGTACAGTCCGTTGGCCGAATAGAAATTTGCGCGGGGATTGGGGAACGAGAGGGGGGGGGGGGGGACAAATCCCACATATCTAGAACCTGTAGTCTCTTTTAGCATAATTTACCCAAGTTTTTGAAGAATTTGAGTTTCGCCTCGGCTCCACGCCAAAAATCACATCGCCGTCGTTAACGCGGAGAGTCGCGATCATCCTGGCTCTCGGCCAACATTTGTCTAGTTTCTCTGCGCCGCTGGTAAACAACTGAATGCTCTCTAATCGGCCACCTGGTCCGTAGAGATTGGTCCATATCTCCCATAAACTCATAGTGCTTGAAGAGTTCAGTCTGACCAAAAACATCTACACGTGTAGATCATTTGGACCTACTTACACTTTCAAAAATTTTCGTTCACAAATATTTTTAGCGAATGAGTTCTTTACCCCAGCTGCGCAAATCATATCCAGACATTACCACCACAAAGTCAGGAAACGTGACGTAATCACGTACAGCACACATGTTGATCGTCGACACAACTGCACACACATTGCAGGAACTCGTTCAGTATAGGCACAGCTAGTCGAAAAACTTCATTCAAAGCAGACAGCAGCGACGACGCAGACGCAGCGGCATAAGCGACTGGGTGGCACAGAACTTTTTTCTACCCCTAAAAGATATGCAACCGTTGTTCAGGAAAGAATAGGTTGATGTGAAGATGTCGTCTATGTGCGTCTACGACGATCTGGATCGCCAACAAAAAAGCGGCAGAAAATGCGCGACTAGACGACGGAAATGAGCAGCTGACTTTAAGGGGCAAGAAATCGTCTGCTGAGGGACGAGTCGATCTCCAGAAAAAAAGGGGGGGGAGGAGAAAGGGGACAATCTTAAAGCGTCGTATCTATGGTTCATCATTTGTCGCGTACTTTCGTTGCACTTTCAGTCCTTCACAGGTACCAGCGGCTACCTATTTATCTACTGTAAACTGAGAAAACCATCCTCGGGGGGGGGGGGGGGGGGTCAGATGGAAACAAAGCCAACTAGCCCCATTAATCAGCTGATAACATGATGATCTTTTTTCTCCGACCGACAACGCAATCGTTCAGCGCATCACAGCTATGAACAATGATGAATCCGTTCGGTTCAAACATCACATCGGGCCCAAACATAAAAATTTTAGGAGATGAAAAAAAGCCAAAAAAGCGTATGATAAGCTAGTTTACACTTGTGAAAACATTTGAAAAAATCCTCCCTGCAAAGTTCAATGAAAGGGAGAAATTTTGGAGAGAAGATCATAGCAGTGGAGATTATAAAATCTCACTGGCAAAAATAAATTCTGCATCTGAATCAAAAATTATGGACGAAATTTGAACAACAAGTGCATAGTAAAATACGTGATTATAACACTAAATCCATATTTTTTAGTCTAAGCTCAAAATAGACAAAAGAATCCCATTCCTAAAACAACAAGATGGAAAAGTAAAGGGTCCAAAATTTGGTGTTCTTGGCACGAGAGAAAATAAGATTGGACGCGAAAAAGTGCAGAAATAGCAAAAAATGAAGTTGTCTCTTTCGACCAAAGATCTAGCGAGATTATAAATGAGGAACGAGAGTTAGTAAATTAGCATCGAAAATTGAATTTAACTAGCAAAATGTAAAAAAAATATTTGTCAGAATTTGGTCATCTCTTTGACCCAAAAGAATTCACGAGATTGAAGTGTCTAAAATGAGATAATGACAGACTAACGTAATAATCATGTACATAAGATAGAAATCAGAAGTTCATCAGATAGGAAATATAGAAATTTCTATGAATCTTATTTGCAACAAGAAAGACCCTAAAAACAGATCAGCTGGCAGCGAGCCAATGACCTATAGTGACGTCATCCGCACGAGGAGATAAGGAGAAAAGTGCTTCAAACGCAGAATTTCTTAGCAAGAAAGCATTTCGTAAGCAGTAAGTGGAGAACAGCGATCTGGGAGAGCGACACCGGGGACACGCCACCAGCACCGAGATGGAACGAAATGGCGTCGGCGGTGGCGGCGGCGGCGACGATCGCAGCAGTCGAGCAGAGGAGGCCCGTCGAGACACTCCTCACATACACACACACCCGCTCACACACACACACAGCCGACCCACAGTGAATGTGTCCCGTCTGTCTGAGAGTGTGTGTCCGTGTGTCTCTCTGGTGCTGGGGGTGAATAGCAATCAATGTGACCAGGACTCGAAACGCGAAAGGTCAGCCATATCAACGAACCCCTCGTCGTCGAGCTGACGACCCGCACCCGCAGCCACCATCGTCGCCACTCCACCTACGCCTGCTGGTGTGGAATTTCGCATGTGAAAGGAAAGCATATGATAGAAAAACTGGACTAAGTGATTGAAATCTTGGAAAATGTGGTCTGATCTACCCTCATTGAAAAATCTTTGAAAAACTCGGATTTGGCCTCAACACCTTTTATTAGCCGAGTAATCGTAAAATGCGGTCATTTTGATATGCAAATTTTTATTTTATTTTCATAATCAATTTTCAAAACGAATATTGTAATTAATTCTATTCCCACTGAAAAATCTTTGTAAGTCTCGAGATTAGCCTCATTCCGTTATTAGTAAACTATTCATTGAATTCGGCCACTTTTTGATACAACAAATTTGTTTTTCTCGAAAAATTCAAAGCCATAAAAAATAAAAGGTAATTTGATTTTGTAGTAGATGACTAACACATTGAATCTACCATATTTTAGAAATTCTGTAGAATCGTAGTTTTTTTTGTGACCAAAAACCTCAAAATTACAATCAAATTTTTTTGAGCCCTATTCAATCTTATTATAGGTGGTCGGAACGACCAAAAGTATTTTTACATTTTTATAAATTTTTACACATTTTCCATGATTTTTCATGACGCGAATACCAAGAAAACGCCGCTTCTTTTGTAAAGATCTGGAAAATGTGCAAAAGCTGCAAAGAAAAAACTTTCGGGCGTTAATCTAACACTTCAGCTTGCGATTTACGATTGTGACGAGAAAAAAAAATCAAATAAAGACCACCCGTAGGCACAATTTCGTAGAATGTCGCTTTTCTTTTTTAAAAAATTTAGAGTTTGAAAAAAAAAAAGCTCTCAGAGCGTGAAACATTTTTGGTAATTGTTAGCTGAGTACAAAGTTACATAAGGATTTTTAAGGTCTAAAAAGTTTTGGCAGAATTCGATAGAAAGGATTTATTGCAAAAAAAATAACATTTTGGTTCAGACAAATTTTTTGGGCCAGCAATCGTAATGCGTGTCAAGAAAATCGATAATATTTCTTTT